AACTGCTGCTGTTGTGTGAAGCTCCTGCATGCCTAATACCAAATAAAATAATCAAATTGCAATGGCAGACGATATTCTTAGGCACAAGGCAAGAATTTGTCCTTGAAGATCTCATTTTAACATTTCCTTCTCTTTTGATTTTGTGTGCGTTTCCAAGGGAACTAGATTTCGCATTATGGCTAGGGAAAATCTAAACTAAGATAATACGTAACACAAGGATAAATATGTACGTATGTATAAGTACAAAAAAATACCTTTATGGTTTTCTGTGAAAAGAATGGCTTTGGATAAAATAATCTTTATTGGAAAAGTAAAAAAGTATTTCTTTATTTTATTGGAAATGCAGCTAAAAAAAACCTCCAGTTGATGGCGAGCACAAAACAGCAGGAGCACTTGTGTTTCCATAGCGATGTCGGTTCAGGGTAAGGGGTCACTCAACAGGTTCAGGTAGCTATGGAAGCAGGTATGGCTGGCATTTAGATTCTGAAGTACTAAGCTCTGAAGACATATTAAGTAAAAATTAAAAATCTGTGCTACCATGAAGAGGTCTTTCCAAAAAACTATTTTAATGTGAAAACAGATGTACAGAAGCTCTTATTTGAATAAAAGGTAAAAATATTTCCTTTAGACATAAAATAAAGGAGAAATCTGCTTTGGACCCACCTGCTCGTAGGAGAATGACTTGGTCGTCAAGTGGCAGTTCCGAGAAGTGTGGGATTCTCTTTGCCCACTCTACAAGTGTGAACAGTTGCTTATCTGCTGCTTGGCAAATGTTGGTGACAGGGTCATTAGGCTGCAAGAGAGAGGAAAAAACAAGGCATTAATGGTGTATCTTAATGGACAACTATACAAAAAGGAACAGGTAAAGGTTTATTCCATGCTGAAAGGAAAAGAGACTGTGAAGGACATCAGTCGAAAAGTTGTGTCTCTTTTCTTTTCTGTGTGGAATAAACCTTTGCCTGCTCCTTTTCAGCCTACACACACTGATACAGCTATCTGCTCGAACTGTAACATAAGCTGGAATGAAATACTCTGTTTTTTAAAATGTTCTTATAATGCTGAAAAAAAAAAGAAAATTTAGTACTTATGCATCCTTGGACCAGATCCATTCATTGTAAGAAAACACACCCTTTGTAAAAAATCATTTGCTAACACTAAATCTCACTATCACAATGGAAAAGTAATGCCACTGCATTACTACCACTGTGATGAGTACTGACCTTAATCTGTGGTATATGACAAAGTATTACAGAATTTGTTTCGGCATTCAGCTTTTAATAATAAAAAACATACTTTTTAAGGAGTCTTTTCACAGTTTTTATGTAAAAAGATCCAGAATGATCTCACCCCTGCATTGTAGAAAGTACATTTGAGACACTGGAGGACTTCACACCCCTTACCAATGTAGAAAATGTGTATGTTTCCATGGCAACAGTATTACAAGCAAGGTGACCTCAGAGAATTGAAGGCACGCTATATATTTTAGCACAAAATAACACTTTAAATAGACTATAAGATGTGAAGTAGGTGAGAAGCAAAATGTTTCTTGATTCTCACAGGCATGAAAGGGGCTATTGTTCAAAAATGCATCGACCAAACTACCCTTCTCAGGTTTTAAGTCAAGACTGTTTGGCTCAGCCCACAATAAAACCACCTCTCTTCAACACTGAGGCCTCAAATCTACTCAAGTCATTAAACTTATACACAGAGGAGGAAGAGATGTAAAACAAATACACATTTTGTCTTGGCATTTGCAGAAAATACCTAAAAATGAGCATAAAAAATTAGCAAGCATTTTTTCTGTCCTCTGTGGTGTTTCCTGAAGAAGACACAGTAAATTATGTATTTTATTTTACCTACCCTGGGACTAGACTAGCTCATCAAGAAGTATTACTTTTAAACAAGTTTACGAGGGTTGAGTTGGAAATGCATGTTTCTGAAAGCTGACACCTTTAATAATCACCAACATCACTTTAAAAAAAGTTTCATAATGAACAATGACATCCGAGAATCACATGCTTTGCATTTTTTTATGATTATTTAAGAATAATAAGTTTAAAAATGTTAGCTTAGCCCACATGATTAAGAGTTAGCACCCTGGTCATAGGACAAAGAGGCTCTACCCCAAAAAAGAAACAAGTAAACACCAAAAACATTGTGAACATTACGATAGTAAATCATGGATGGAAACATGGCCAATTAGAAAGCATCAAGAGGCCAAGAGGAAGGAACCTGAATTTGAGCTGGAGGTAGGACGCCAGACAAGACTATGGCCCAAGAAGATGACATTAGGAACAGCAGGGAACAAGAGAGGGAAACCTGGGGTCACGTTGGACATCGGTGAACAGAAGCAGAATAGACCACAGAAGAACATGCAGTCCACATAATGAGTGTGAAAAAGTGAGGGGATCATGAAACAAGATGCGTATTTTGTTTTGTTCCGTCTTATTTTTCTCTTTACTGTCTGTTGTTTGAAGCACGTATAGAAAAATGTGTCAAAAATGCAAGGCGAACACAAAATGAGAAGTGTACTTTTCCTACTTTCCATCTTGTTTTCTCTTTCCTGCCTGTTATTTGAAGCACAATCTATGTAATGATTTTAGTGGAAAAATGTGTGAAGAGGTGTGTGCATTAGTTATACATGGCAAAAGTTGGTAATGATTCCAATATACAACTGGATGATACTGGTTTAACTGACATTATCTTTCCCAAACTTCAGTTAATATCTTCCATATCATAAACAAGTGATTTAACATTGAATTATACATTTCAAGGTATACATCGACACATGGCAATACAGTAATCTTGTCAGAAATAATTGTACATAATTAATATGATCTTTTAATTAGGTATTAATATGACTACAAAGAATTTTCAAAAGTAATCATTTATCCTTAATGTATAGTTTCTAGAGAAGTACTTTAAGTACTGTTGAAGAAAAATAAAATTTTTGCAGACTTATCTATCATAAGTGAACTGAATGCCCAACCAAACATATATTATTTCCAGGTGACAATCAGACACCAAATAGTAAGCTTTGCTTAAAACCCTCATTGAAGAAGATAACCATGGAATAGCTAATTGTTGACAGTCTGACATTTTTTACAGCTTATTATAATAAAAAAAACATACTTTGATTCTTGAAAATGAAATGTCAGCAAAAAGCTATAGTTAAATGCAACTACTCTTAAAAGATGTTTCATGTTTTTAAAGTATTTAAAACAACTTACCTGAGAGCTGAAGTACGAATATAATACAGTTTGTTAAACAACAGGAAGGCTTGTAAACATTTCAGGAGCTCTAAGTAATGGATCTCAAGTGCCAAACTTCAATCAGCATGTAGAAAACATGGACAAAATCCCTATGTCTCAGTAAATATTTAATTGGTAATAACAGTAATATTTGTTGGTTCACCAAAAAAAAAAAAACAACTGTGTTTTTGAGAACAGAACATGATGTTCTGCTTTATTATGGTGTGACATCCACCAGTATTTGAATTAGTTTAATTTGTTTAGTTTGCAATTGAAATACAAAAATGTTGAGAATTGGACCCTACACAAAAGTGCATTTTAAACCAAGAACAGGAGGTTCTTCTTTACTTAACCAGAGGATGTTATATATATGGAAATAGGATCTGAGATAGACGTCAACAAGGGTTTAGAAAAGGTAGGTGGTCTAGCTATAATTCTTTGAACAGTGAAACATGAGCCAGAGGACACTAGCTAAGTTATGGCAAAGTGCCTTTGAAACTGAGAACAGGTGACACTTCTTTACTCAAAGGGGTGTGGGAGTATGAAATAAGCTACCTAGTCATGATGGGAAACCTAGCTTTTTTCATGAAACAGCTGGATGACATCCTCAGATCAATTAGCTACCAATTACCGAACCGGCAAGAGAAGCTGAATGGCCTCCTCTCATTTGTAACTGTTCTTGTGTTCTTACATATTTCAGATAAAATTTACCATTATACTGTATATATTATCAAACAAAACTCCTTCATATCAGAGTTCCAAAGTTATATAGCAATAGGCAATGGTATATATTGTGCATGTTGTTATGTACTTTTAATAACCAGAAAAAATGTAAGATTGATAAGATAAAATTGTCTTATCAACTACACACCCCAGTCCTGTACTACTTTTTGTTATGACAGAATGAAACATTCAGCATTTATTTTTGCTTGTCCACCTCTATTTAGCACAAAGAAAGAAAAAGCAAGCTAGAAATTGGAGCAAAATAGCTGTAGATTGCAGGTTTAACTGGACATGTCTGCACTTGTTTTACAACCTCATTTAAAATGTCAAACAAGTGACCCCTCTCCCCACCAAAAAGGAGCAATATATTTTTTGATAAGTTCCTTTTACCAGTAAGTTGGCACATACTGTAACACATCAGTTTGTACAACTGAAAAAACCCAGCTTGCACAATAACAATCCACCATTCTATTTTACAAAATAAAATCAGAATGCAGGAAAGGAAAATCTTAAATGAAAGGAGGCCTGATTATTATTATGCAGTATCTGTGGAAGTTAGACAGTAAAAGCCTTTTTCACAACTTTCTTTCCCAATGCACTCTACACCAGCAAAATCTTCAAGGATCAGAACTTCAAATGAGGTTCCCCAGAGAAGATTAGGTTAAGACAAGGGGAGTTTATCTAGTGCATACACTTTCTTTTTCTTCTTCTATTCCCATATAGATACGCATCTGCTGTCAATACTGTTCTGTTTGAATCACACACTGACATCTGCAAAGGAAGAAAGCAAGACACTTGAATACTAAGTTGATTTGTCAGGTATTTCTACAGTGGAAGGAAATTTCCATAGCTTTCTGCAGGAAAAATATGACCCTCTAAGTCCATGGTAAAAACTTAAGATGTATTGAAATATAGAGGTGGAAATGCAATGTTTCAGTACTGAAGACCTCACTATGTATGACATAACAATTATCATTGCAGAGCATTTCTAGAATTTAATTAATATTCATTTTTCTTTCTTTCACTTTTAGTAGTACTCAAACATTCTCCTTTGAGTTTTTATTTGCAGTTAAAAAAGTGATAAAGCAACAAGATAAAAACATAAACCAAAACATGTTTATTTAATTGTTTTGCACCTTCTATTCTTCTGTTCAGGGTCATTCCAGAGCATAAGTATACATTACACTTCATATATGGTCTTGTGTACAGAACTGAATCACAAAATGAAGCAATATACTTTATAATTCAAAGTTTATTTGTAAGGAACACACTGCAGTCTTTGCATATAATATATGACAGATTTTTCTACTTTGTGTTTCACTGACTTGCTTTATATGAGATTCAAAAGGACTGCAAAGGGAATTTCAGTCAGTCTTGTCCACAAAACAGCCTTTTAATGAATTATGAATCTTGAATCAATCCCTGTGTCCACCTTCAACCATCTGACATTAGCACATTAGAGCATCCAAACTTATCACATTCAAAATTACGTGAACATATTCTGTCAATGGATGCTGCTTTCTGTTTAGTGCATCTAATTATTACTAGATCAATCTACTGAACTTCAGACTTATTTAGTATATAAATAATGCATCAAACAAAAAAGCGGTCCTTCTGCTCTCCAAGCAATGCCTGGGAAAGCATAGAAATTAATTAACTGAGAGAGCAAGACTACACGTTCTTATCTTTGTTACTTTCATTAAAAGGCTACAAGGCCATTCATTATTTTTTGGGACTTTATGCTGACATAAAAAAAATACAGTATACCATTAAGTACCAATAACGTATAATGGCATGTCCTTTAGTTTTGTTCATAAAC